TGGGGAGTTACACTAATTATTTTTCAGGTTTGGGGAGTACATATTAATATGGGGGAACCGGAAATATACTCTGTGTTCTTCAGTCTAAGTGTGCTTTCAACGTCATCTTGTATTGAGGCGTGCTTGCCAGCCGCTCGTCGAACGCTCTCCATGCTCCATGGTGTGTCGGCCGTGTTGCTTGTACGTTCCGGACGTCGGCCGCACGTTGTACACTTCCCTTCTCCTCTGGGGCGTGTGTGTGCTTGTCCCGTGCACGAAAGGGAACCGCACATCCAACATTAAAATTTGACAAGTTCTACCGCTCGCAAATTATTCGTTCTAAAACATCTCAACTCGGGGGCATGTGTGTGCATTGTGCAAGCGTCGCGATGGGGGCATACGATGAACCGCGGACGATGCACGAGAGGGTCGGAAGCAGGAAGCCGACTTGTCGAAGAGGACGGCCGTGTTCGGGAGTAACGAAGACAATCGTCGTGTCTTGAAGAGATAGAGGCGAAGCAGCAGAGTGTACTTTATTTGGGGAGAGGATGCTGCGAAACTGAATGGGAGGGGGTGGGCCTAGCGGGGGAAGGGCAGCCCATCTGACGGCGCTATTGTTCCATGATTTCGATAATGTCAGACCAGCCGCCACTGCTACGTCACGGTACCCGCCCCGCCACGTCTAGACTACCTGCCCGAGGCCGGCAGATTGCGCGTTGCAGCTCGTGGGAAATATCACACTTCAACATTAAAAGTTTGAGAAGTTCTGCCGGTCGAATATTATTCGTTCGAAAGTACTTTGTAGAACTCTGGGGCGTGTGTGCACATTGTACGTACATAAATTGCGCTTTACCATGCAGCAGGTTCTACGAACCGCAAATCAAATCACCGTCCACGAACCTGTTATATTTTGGGGTCGGAAACGAGACTGTGAACGGGACTGTGTAGAAGACTGTGTAAAATTTAATTAATCTATACAAACTCAAGTGAATCAGTAATTTCCGAGTTTGGGCAGACGATATCGAAAACAATACAGTAATACACAAGGTGAGGTACTGGCACGAGCGCCGGTGTTGATGTCCACTCACTTGTACTTTTGCGAATTTAGGATTGACGGGTCTGCTCTCGGCGTGGTAGAGGAAAGCAACCATCACCCAAGGGGGCACGAAAAACAAATTCGACACCTACGTACCCATTTTCTTATTTGGGAGGTTTTGCGGGGGGCGGCGGTACTCTAATTCCTATATAAATCAAAGGGGGCCCGCGGTGGGGAACCCATTTTCCTTTGGGGTATCTTGTGCGCGAGCTAGGATCCTCTCTTGCGAGCCCCGAAGCCATGATCACACAAAACGGGTACATTAGGATATCAAGAGAGAACCTAACCCACTCAAAGAATGCGTATAACGTCGTGACTTGTACAACACGATGTGTCCCCCGGATGCAGCTTGTGTGAAGTGGGCTCTACGCACCATGAGAAGCAAAAACTCGAATAAAGAAAATCGGTCCGTCCGGGGGGGGCGGGGGGGGTACTCATAGTCGTGCACGCCGCAGTCGTTAGACCATTGACCTCGCATCCCTACAAAGCCGGGACGGAGCACGCCGGGTTCTCACCGGACCAGGCTCTCACATCACCAAGCGCGAAGCGCCGTGAGGTATTCGGCGAGCCGCATGAAGGGTGCGCTGCATCCTGCTAAGGGTGTTCGGCATCTTGTGCCTACTTCCTTGCGTACGGATGACAGCTGCGTATGACTTAATTTATTTTCTGGTGCTTTCACTTCCAGAGACAGTTGTAAGCACTGTATAACTGCCTCGAGGATGCTTGACCATTTTAACACAACGTGGTGCGATCATCCCCCTTGCGCGGAGTGAGGTTTCTCCACCCCGCACAGCATAATCTAACTCGACCACCATTTTGGTTACCGCCAAAAAAAAAACAGAGGCAAAAAAAAACGGTAACAACCTTGTTGCCGAGTTCACGAAGTTAATTGGCTTATTTTACAACGTCGTTGCCAAGCGACGAAAACCCAACCCCGATGGCAAACACTGGGGGGGGGGGGGGTACCTATAGGTGTGTGGTATTACTTTTTACGTGCCCCCTAGCATCACCTATGATTTTTCGGTGGCAGTTGCAGAGCAAATTGCTCAAGTACTACCACGGATACTTTTGTGTGCGACCCAGTATGTCTGTGGGGTATAGTGTGCTCTTCGTGCGTTACCTCAGAGCCGGCTACAAGATGGTATCATTTGCCCTGACGGTGTCCCCGAAGAGTTTCGGCAAGTGCTTGTGGAGCCTTCTCGGGCATGCATCTGGTCCACTGTTGTCGGGTCGGGTGGCGGTCGGGTCAGAGGCTCTCGGTCACTGTTCTCGGCCACCTCGGGGGATGGTGTGCGGGAAGCTTCCCAACAAGGGCCTGTGGAACCTTCTCTGGCATCGTTGCTTGGGTACGCAGGAGTCATGGTCATGGTGTATCCGGTGGGCACCCCCCTGCTCTACGACGTCCTGTTACTTGAACTCGTGAGGACAGCAGCTCAACCGATTGCCGATCTGTGGGAGCCTTAAAGGTCCGAGCGGTTCTTCTCGAGTGCGCCGCCCGCCGTATCATGCTTACGGGTGTAGTCGTCTTCATCTCTCCGAACGATGTGGCCCAAACCGCGGTTACGATCATTATGCTTGTTCTTGGCGATGTTCGATATACTAGCGCCATGTAAGGTCTGACTTGTGATTGTTTTCTTTAGCATGTTCAATTTTCTGCTACTGAAGGTGGACGTGTCCGGCGAGAGGGACCAGCTCTAGCCAAGCTGCCGTTGCTGGAGTGTTGGTGCTAGGTCACGTGTTCATGGTTCTTGCCATCATCACCGAGGTGGTTGACATTTGTTTTGCGTCCGGAAGGAAGCGCGTTGTCGAAGAAGCGGCGTCATGTGAGAGTCTTGGGGGGCCTAGCGCAGAGTCGGATGAAGCGCCTGGTTGTCGTGGAAGTCATTCATGCGGCAAGTGTTGGCGTCAGCAGAGCCCGGGCCGACTCGAGGTGTCGGTGGGGCGGGGGTTTCGGCAGTGGGTAGGCGGAAGCGCTGGGCGTGCCCTCTCTTTCGTCCATTCCCTGGT